TTAGTCCCTTTATACATCAGGGGTCACCACAGCGGAATGAACTGCCAAATTATCCAGCATTCGCACACATACAATACGGCCACTTTAGCTTATTCAATTCCGCTATAGCACAAGTCTTTCGACTGTGGTGGAAACCGGAGCACCCGGAGAAAACCCACACCAACATGTGGAGAACATGCAAACTCCACACTGAAATGCCAACTAACCCAGCAGGTCCTCGAACCAGCGATTTTCTTGCTGTGAGGCGACATTGCAAACCACTGAGCCGCCGTGTCACCCTGTGTGTGTAACATTATCCAAACAAATATTTATTCAAAATATGTCATGTTTACCTCAACTTTTTTCTTTCAAGAATTTAACAATCTGTCATCAAATATTCTACACTGGTAAAATTAGTTACCAGTTATAATTAGTTACATGTTACTGACAATAATGGGAATAATGGCGCTATAAATAAACAATGTTACTAAAGATGATATTTTTTTCACTCTTTCAAAGAAACGTGCCCAACACTGTTCATTGACTACATTTACATGAAAAATCCTGGTAAAATAGATTAGCATCTGTATTTTTTAACAAAGAACTGAAACAAAAACATGATTTCATGCATTAACATCAGAGGGAGTATACGTCACTCCCCCTCCAGCGCCAGAGAGCTTCTATTTTCTCATTCAGTTGTTACTGGAAAGTCTCAATGAAGCTGCCTTTTCCAGCAGATGTGTGTAATCATATAAAGTATATAATTGTAAAGTTCGCCGAGCCCTGGACACAACCCTCAATCTCTGGAAAATGAAGTGCTGGACATCTGGGTGGACGCAAGCGTGGCTCCGGGCGCTCAAATGACAGAGTTCAGGGCTCCGGTAAGTGCTTCGAAGAAAAAAAAAAATAGATCCTGTGCTCAATTTAGATGGAGTTTTTGTTTTAAAGTGGCCCAGAAGAGAACGGCTGACAGCCACCCTTTCCATTTTCAACCCTTGTGATTTCTAGAAGGGATTTATATGAAATGCTTTCGTTTCTGGGTTGCTTTTCCCTCATTCTTTCCTACTGCTTCAGCAGAATTTATTTCCATCATATTTCTTGCTGTCTTTCATGCATAATAAACCACATGTCTCACTCGGCAAAGTCTTCAAAACATCACGGCGGATGGCCCATTTGTCACTCGTTATTTTATTTTTATGCGAGGAGTCAAGAGAATGCAAAAATGCAAATGCGTTCAAAAAGGAGAGCGCAAACGCTAGCAAGCTGAGCAAGTGTTCCAGATGCTATTTTAATATTAAAAAGGACAGTTCACTGCAAAATGAGCACTGTGGCACCATTTACTAAACTTTCTTAGAGGGTACCAATGATGAAAATCATCTTTTGTAAGCTGTTTGGACAGAACTGTGTGAAGGTATAGTGTGTCTACAGTCATATTGGGGTGATGTAAACACAATAAGTCTTTATTTTTTATTTCCTGACGTTAAAATAGGCAGGGCCGGATTAACAAAAGGGCTAGGTGGAGCTGAAGCCCCAGGGCGCATGGAAGAAGGGGGCCCTGGATTGGCTCAAGAATTAATTTGCGCTATGATGCGGGAAACTGCTGCTGTTCAAAACAGTACAAACAGTGACGCCAGTACTAAACTAGGGCTCGGAGTGGCTGTAGCCCAATCAGAATATTGAAGAGCCCTGTTTTAGTCCTCCATAAGGGTGATCAGATGTCACAATTTTCCCAGGATCATGCTGAATGGACCGCGCGGCTGTTAGACTCAAAAACCGGCGGGCCTATACAATACATCACACGATATAACCGACACAGAACAAATCAAATAGCCTACACAAGCAGTAATAAAAATGTCCATCTTTGTGGAGTATGTATATGAAGTACATGCACTCGGTTATGCTTTACAGTAAGTCTAACTGAACCAGTTAGAAAGTAAACCTTTTTATATACTGTAAATGCTTACTTTGCCCCTATTATGAAAACGACAGAATAATATGAGGCAATGAAATATTGGCGCTGGCTTTCATAAGACAATAGGCCTATATCCGATGAAATAAATAAATAAATAAATAAATAAATAAATAAATAAATAAATAAATAAATAAATAAACAAACAAACAAACAAAATAAAATAAGGATGCAATAGCCTTCCGTAACTCAGAAGACCACAATATTTTTGATTTTAGAAGCATGGATTTTAAAGATATCCTATAATCTGGGATTTAAAGTTCTAAAGAACCTTTTAAAGGTAAACCCCTATTTAAAGCGTTCATCATAAAGCACTAAGTTATAGGAAATAATGCAAATGTTTTTGTTTTGCTGATTTTTGCAGCCTGTTTGCACTTTAAAGTTCACATTATGTCATTACTTAATTTGTATAAGCTACTTGCAGGGCCTATTTTAATAAAATAGAAAAAATATATAATAAATAAAAACCAAATGGTGGAAAGTTAGATAATAATATTAATTTAATTAATTAGTAATAATACTAATATTAATAACAAGAACAATATACACACACACACATATATATATATATATATATATATATATATATATATATATATATATATATATATATATATATATATATATAATTTTACCTTTTTTAGTTAATTAATTAAATTATTTTTTTGTGAGGTAAAAATATAAAAGGGGATTTGCTATAGCCCCAGGGCTCAATGCGTTCTTAATCCGGCCCTGAAAATAGGATCCGAATCCTTCCCATTTTGAGGCTGACCACAACATGACGTATGTGTGTGGTTTCACCGCGCACCGAATTGATTGACAGCAGAATTAAAAGATCTGTTCAGCTCTCTGTGATCATCCATCGTCATCAAATGTGATCAAGAATGAATTTTACAAGTTACGTTTGTAAAGTAGAGCAAGTTTGTAACGAATTACAGTGATTTTACCATCTTTATCAACACAGCTGCATGTCAGTACAACTATAAAAAAAAAAAAGATGAATAAAAAGACTAATGAATGTATCGTTCACTGTTTGTAAATACATTAACTAATGGAACCTTATTGTGAAGTGTGACCCCAAACTTAAAGTAAAACAAAGTAATACACATGAAGACTAGTAAACAGTTAGTAATAAACAAATTACTACTTGGAAGCGTTCCCATCATACAGATATATAATAAATGAACAGAGCATACAGGAGGATTATAGCAGCTGAATTTGCATGTATGGCCAGTGGTGTGGTGTGTAGGTGTGGATGTCAAGGGACGGTCAGCTCACTTTACGCTCTGGGCAATGCAGACACACACACAAACACACACCCACACAAACTACTACCTAGAGAACATGCTAACTAGACTACATGCATCTAAAAATACTTCTGGGTTCATACAGTATGTATGCAGAAGACCACGCATATCGTAAGCCTTCAATTTTACAGCAGAACTCCTCCCTGAGAGACACAAAGAGGTTGAAAAAGAAAGGTGGGGATGTATGGAAATGAGTGCTTGTGATATAGTTTGCAGGGCAGATCAGAGGAAAAATGGACATGATTAAAGAGTGAAGTAAAGGATGAAGTTTTTTCATATACAAAAGTCACATACAAAGCATCCAGTAAATTTCACTGTAAGATAGATTGGAAAAACTGAGGGAGGGATGCAAAGTTCAACATAAAAAAAAATAATATTCATAAAAAAAATAATAAATAAATAAACCATTAAAAAAATAATAAATAAATAAACCATTAAAAAATAATAAATAAATATATATATATATATATATATATATATATATATATATATATATATATATATATATATATATATATATATATATATATATATATATATATAAAAAAATAAATAAAAAACATTATTTTTTCTTTAAGAAAAGAAAATCATAGCTAAATATATTTATATTATATTATATTATATTATATTATATTATATTATATTATATTATATTGACAACTATTTGATTATGTACAATAATAACTGCTTATAATAACAAATAGCAATAATTTTGTGTTTGTTTATATGAGATTTTTGTTTGCAAACATATTATTAAAAAGTTACACAATGATTTTGTTATTTTACCAGCAATAAAATTAAACACAATTAAAATATAGATAGAAATAAAGCAATACCTTAATAATAAATATAAACTATTTATTCACAAACTTAAAAAAAACTCAATAAAATAGCTATATAGCAACATTTAGACAACTGATAAAAAGAACATAAATTACAAAAAGATAAATAAAATAAAATAAAAATAAATAAATAAATAAAAAATAAAATAGGGTACATGGTAGTAGTGAACAACATTGGGGATCACACTATAAAAATAAATAAATTTAAAAAAGGAACAATAATAAAAATACATTTATAGCCAAATAAGTTGCCAGCTAATTTGTAACCGAATGTTAATTTGTAAATACTAATTAACTTTACAAAAATAATACAAGAAAATTCTTCTTTAATCATGCGCTTACTGTTGTAACAGGCCTGAATGTGTGAGCTTGATAAATACAGTCAACACAAAAATCCAAGCAAAATAGAATAGCAAATGCACTGGAGAACACTGGAGAAAAGGCCCAAAAAGAGTTGCTTTCCGTATATCTAACACTTTTATGTGACTTCAGTTATTTAGTAATCTAAAAACCACACAGTAGTTCCTAAGATTGGACATCAGCCCATAGGTTAAAATAATCAGTAAACATAAGTGATCGGATGATAATAATTACACCAGTGAACATGAACACAGTGCTGTGCAGTGAGCGAGTCCCTGTTGAGTCGAAGCAGATGAACAGATTAGTCGGAGTGCTTTCGATTTGGCCTGAAAAACACACCGCAAGATAAACCCCGATAATCTGAGCTTTGAATCAGTGCCTGAGAAAACTGCCAGACATCGGGATGACAGAAGAGACAGAGGGAAAGAAAGAAAGAAAGAAAGAAAGAAAGAAAGAAAGAAAGAAAGAAAGAAAGAAAGAAAGAAAGAAAGAAAGAAAGAAAGAAAGAAAGAAAGAAAGAAAGAAAGGCAGACATGTACTCACTCGTGAAGGGTCATACTCTGGTCGTCTTCGAGCGGTCAGGTCCTCATAGGATGGAGCTGGTCTGATCTGCTGAAGCTGATTCCTGATTTGCTGCAATCGTTCTTCATTACTGCCAAGAGAGAAACAAGATAGTTAAGAGACAGTGTCCATTTAAACACTTCCGAAAACATCCACATCAATTCAGGCAATTCTACAATCCAGACTAATTCTCTTAGCAAGCCTGAAATGAATAAAAACAAAGTCTATTTAACAAAAATATAAACTAAAATATAAAACGAAATCTAGTAGCAGAGTGATTCATCACAGCAAATGCAGTAATGATTTATAATCACTGTTAATCTGATTCATCGTGATGTAAGTGTTTGAATTGAGGCCAAGTCAATGTACAATTCTGTTTGTCAGATTTCTAAATCGCACATAGCTAAAATAAACAGCCCTTGATGTAAAATTCAGTGTATTAAATTATCTATCTGTGAGCTCCATAAACACACATGTAACCTAAGGGCATGTATTGATTCAGAGCAGAAATGGCATTATAAAAATCAGCATTTAAACTGCCTCAACTTTTACTTCAGCTGAATGCTACAGCAACTCATACGTTTAAACACTGAGAAAACACGGCTGCTTTGATTGGTCTATTTTTTCTGCCAATCAGACTTCCTTTTCACTGCACCATTAACTCAAACCAACTCAGAATTGTATTTGAATTTATTTCAATACAGACTGGATGATGAATGGATAAACAAACAGACAATAGAATGGTTGGACGCTAAATGGACGGATGGATGGATGGATGGATGGATGGATGGATGGATGGATGGATACATGGATAGGTGGGTTGGATGGATGGATGGATGAATGGATGGATTGATAGACAATTTGAGAGACGGAAGGACAGATAGATAAAACAGACAAACAATTGGATAGATAATAAACAGAAAATTGGATGGATAGATGGATGGATGGATGGGAGAAGGTATGGATGCATGTATAAATTGACAATTGGAAAAATGAAAGGACAGATGGATAAACAAAATTGGATGGATGAATGTAAGGATGGATGGATAATTATCAGACAATTTAATGGATGGAAAGATGGATGGATAAACAATTGGATGGATGGATGGATGGATGGATGGATGGATGGATGGATGGATGGATGGATGAAAGGACAATATGGTGAATATATGATGGATGGGAGGATAAACAGACATTTAGATGGATAATTGGATGGATGTATGAAGGATAAACGGATGATAAACAGAAAATTGGATGAATGGATGGGTGGATGGATATATGGATGGATGAATAGATAAATGGACAATTGGAAAGATGAAAGGATAGCTGGATAAACTAAATTAGATGGATGGATGGATGGATGGATGGAAGGAACAATGGATGTATGGACAGATAAACAGACAATTAGAAAGAGGGAAGGAGAGATGGATAAACCAACAACTAGATGTATGGATGGATGACAAACATTTGGATGGACAGATGGATAAACAGATGATTGGATGGACAGACAGATGAATAGATAAACGGATTGATGAAAGGATGGAAAGAAATAATTAGATGGATGAACAGATAAACAGACAGATAAACAGATTATTGAGGGATGTATGGATGGATGGATGACAAACAGACAATTGGATGGAAAATAAACACAATTGGATGGATGATGAACAGAATTATATGGATAAACAGATAATTGGATGGATGTAAGGATGGATGGATAATAAACAGATGGATGATAAACAGACAATTGGATGGATGGATGGATGAAGGGATGGATGGATGGATGGATGAATAAACACAACTGGATGGATGAATAAACAGACAATTGGATGGATAGATGGATGTATGGATGTAAGGATGGATAAATGGATGGATGAAGGGATGGATGGATGGATGAATAAACACAACTGGATGGATGGATAAACAGACAATTGGATGGATGGATGGATTGATGGATGGATGGATGGATGGAGAATAAAACAATATGATGGATGGATGATGGATGGATACATGAATGGATGGATAAACAAACAATAAGATAGATAAACAGATAATTGGATGGATGTAAGGATGTATGGATGGATAAATGGATGGATGGCTGGATGGATGGATAAACAACTGAATTGATGTATAAACAGACAATTGGATAGATGGATGGATGGATGGATGGATGGATGGATGGATGGTTGGATGGATGGATGGAGAATAAAACAATATGATGGATGGATGGATGGATGGATGGATGCATGAATGGATGGATAAACAAATAATTAGATAGATAAACAGATAATTGGATGGATGTAAGGATGGATGGATGGATGGATGGATAAATGGATGGATGGATGGATGGATGGATAAACAACTGAATGGATGTATAAACAGACAATTGGATAGATGGATGAATGGATGGATGGATGGACTGATTGATGGATGGATGGAGAATAAAACAATATGATGGATGGATGATGGATGGATGGATGGATGGATGGATAAATGGTTGGATGGATAAATAGATGGATGGATGGATAAACAACTGAATGGATGGATAAACAGACAATTGAATGAATGGATGGATGGAGTGATAGATGGATGGCTGTAGTAAAAAATAAATAACTGCAAATAAATAAGTTTGAGGAAAGTCTATTGAGAGATGTTGAGAATAAGTCCAGTACAGTGGAGTGTGCTGCGTTTCTCCAGCAGCTGGCGGAGCACAAACGCCATCCATTAACTAATCCCACTGAACGCAATTACAGCTGCCATTCTGACTAAGAGTCCACACACACTCAATGAATGACAAACACCATCAATGTTTAATTAGCTCTCGGCCAGCGTGTATGCATCATATTCATACGAGGACAGCACTGAAGAGCAGACCTACAGCGAGTGAGCAAGCATGCGCAAACACACACTGCAAAAATACCAGCCGTTTACATGCATGATTAAACACACACACACACACACACACACACACACACACACACACACACGAGTGAGTGTCTAAAGGCCGGCTGTCATCGGCAGTTCATTTGGGGTATTATGATAGCAGGCGCAGCGTAAAGCCAAGAAAGGCCGGAGATATTAGCTTTCCTTCTTTGAGAAGAGCGTGACTGATTCCTGCTGTGATTTACCTGTTTGTGTTACATCTGAGGAGAGCTAATGAGTGCTGTGTTGAGCAGCAGTCAACAGTGCTAAACAGGAGTGTGTGTGTGTGGCTTTCCATTTTGGTAACCATTGAACTGCATCCGTTTTTGCTACTTAAAACAAACACTTAACTGAAATACTGTATAATAATAAATCATAAAACTTCAAATAAACAGTAAAATATATAGATACAAATTATAATTGTACATAATTTATCTACAGTGGAGAAAACGAGTATTGTACATGGTATGTCTCTTGCGTATAATATTTCTAAAGGAGCTGTTGACATGGAATTGAACCAGATTTTGGTAAAAAATCCAAACAATCCAAACACAAAAATAAAACAAAACAAAACAATCTGAACAACGAGTTGTGTGTAATAACGAAGGAATAACACAAGGAGAAAGTGCTGAACTACTGAAATGTATTCAACACTTTATATAAAAGCTTTGTTGGTGATGGCAGCCTCTCATTTAGAGAACGAAGTTACTTGCATTGCTCAAGTGTGTGTTTTTCATGGATTTCAACAGATCTTGTTGGTTCGGTGGGTCTTGTCTATCAAATCTTTAATTTTTATTTTCTATTGGATTCCAGTCTGGTGATTGACAAACTAAATTTTATGTTAACGTTAATTTGCTAAACATTTGTCAATGCTGGACAACTTTACTGCATATTTACATAATTTCAGTATGTAAAATATATGTATACACACACACACACACACACACACACACACACACACACACACACACACACACACACACACACACACACACACACACACACACACACACACACAGTGTAAGTAAGAATTATTAGCCCCCCTTTATTTTATTATTATTATTATTTTTAATATTTCTAAAATGATGTTTAACAGAGCAAGAAAATTTTTTCAGTACACCTGATAATATTTTTTCTTCTGGAGAAAATCTTATGTGTTTTATTTTGGCTAGAATTAAAGCAGCTTTTCTATAATATTTCTTACTTTTTCTAATAATATTGAACTTAAAATGTTTATATATGTGTATATATATATATATATATATATATATATATATATATATATATATATATATATATATATATATATGTATGTATGTATGTATGTATGTATGTATGTATATATATATATATATATATATATATATATATATATATATACATACATACATATAAACATATATATAAACATACATATATATAAACATACATATATATATATATATATATATATATTAGGGATGTAACGGTATCAGAATTTCACGGTACGGTAATACCTCGGTATGAATGTCACGGTACGGTATTTATTGAATCATTTACAGGAAAAAAAAAACTTTTGAAAATACTCCAAAAAAGTGCCAAAAGTGTCAATGACATACAAATTAGCCATCTATCTGTTAGCTTTGAAACAGGAACTTCAATTTTAATAACAAAAAAATTATTAAACCATGTAAAAAAATAAAGTTTCAATTTAATATTGTTGAAAACTCATCCCATTCAACATTTAATCACTCACTTAGATAGAGATGGGTTTAAAGAAAAATTATTATATAATTATAATCTGGTAAAAGCTGGTATCTCTGGGTATTTACAATGTCCCCTGCAACAGAAAAAACCCCTCTCATTTGGGACTGAGGTTTCTGGGACAAGAGAGATATGACTTGGCCCATGTTGACAGCAGTGGGGTAACGTTGTGCATTGTCTTTCCCCCACTTGAGAAGACAAACCATGAGTGAGATAGAGGTCTCTTTGCGGTACAAGTCAATGTCTGCATCAATCTGAACAGTGTGCTGTGTTTCTGCAGTCCCCATGACTGTTATTAGTCGTATTCCCCAACTTGCAGGCACGTGCACACATAGGGCTCAACCTGTGCAGTGCACATGCCCTTTTTAGTCTTGGATAGAAAATGCCCTTCCAAAACGATCAAAAGTGCCCCCGCGACGCGACACA